AAGGTGCTTGGGGTTGGATGGGACTGGCGTGTTGAGGTGCGAAACCAGCAGAAGCGACAGTGCGACCCACTGTGCTCTGGGTAGTGCTGCAGCGTCTAGGGTGCCTAGGCGTAAGCATCGGCCAGGACAATCCGGCACAGGCGAGTCGGTCTCGAACACAACAGCTGTGTTTCTGAGTCTGATGGTATGTGGCGAGATTTTTAAACACCCTCGACAGCGACAGTGCAGAGGCTACAGCAGCACCAAAACATCCTAGGAGCTAAGCAGGAATGTTGCCCAGACTTGTGACTTTCTGTACTTGTGTTATGATTAAGTAAGGTCAGGCTGAGTCATGCTTGATTCTGGTGTCTCATAATAGAATAGTGTTGCTCGTGTGAGCATTCTGTTGGTCGCGATTAAGTTTCAGCTTTGCTTCGGAAGATCCCGCTAAGCCAGGTGCCTGAGTGGCTGCGGAAGCGCGTGGCGGAGCAAAATGCCGGGTACCCGGTGTGTCATTTTCAACTTCAGATCTCGGGCTTCAAGTTCTATAGGAAAGTGCGTGTGCATAGGGGTATGATGAGTATCGTTCTCTTGTATGTGAGGTGTCACATGCTTTTTCGAAATGTTGCTGCTGCTACATATGAGCCACTGCCTCTCTGCATGTTCTAGAGCAGGAGGTGACAGATCCAAAAAAAAAGAAATCAAAAAGAGAGGGGCGCTCTGTCCATCAAGCAAAGCCCACAAACTTATCTTCAGGACCAATTCAAGCAGCGCAGTTTGGGAATCTGGTTTCGGCCGGCAGCGAACAGGCCAGCCGTTTTGACGATCTCTTCCGAGGACACACCTTCATGCTCATGACAACCTATCGCAATGTTCACCAGTTCTTGGGGAGGGGGCTGACTTCAGTGCCTCGGACAAGAAGGACTCCTGCTGACAAAAAACCCGATAAGCATACTCGGACTGCACGTGATCTGACAACTCCGTGACGGAGGAGAAAGGGGCTCCTTTGTGCTAAAATTGGGTGGCAGAACTGGCCTGCATCCACCCTACCGGAGAACATGACCACCACAGCACAAGCCCTCTGGCCGTTGCGAACTCTATGCCAAGGTCGAAGGCTCGCTCATTTAGTTTTTCAGATTTTCAGTCAGCCACCCAGTCTCTCTCTCTCTCTTTGTCTCTGTATCCAGCGATTCTTTATTCCATCACTCTCGCTCCGAAACCCTCGCTGACAATACAGTCGATTTGGGAATGCTGGACCCCACGACTGAAACACAATGAATCACCACCGCGTAGATACCACCAATCGCAGCAGCTTCCTCTGCATTTTCCCCATGCCAGGCTAGACGCAGCAGGCGCTCGCTACAATTGCTCCATCCCAAAGTCCCGGCTCCACTTGACCTAAACGGATTGAAATTCTGGGGAGGTTAGTGTAGTTCTGCAGAGTGCAGGTGTGCTGACGACGATCATGGCTTTGAGGCTGCCCGGAAAGCTCACAGACACTTTGCACAGAGGAGATCAAACACACCGGATGCCAGAGCATGCTGCACTTTCATTGTAGGATGTGCAAAACTTAGCCGCTGCCCCAACCTTGCTGGGCTGTGGGAGTCGTCCTGGTTGCAGCGAATACAATGCAGCCTTGGATCCCTGCCCAGCAGCTATCATCCCCGTTTAAGTTTTGTAACGTCAATCTGGCAGCCAGCATGGTGAACTACAGCATTCCCATGCGAGCTTCCGAAAAAGCCGGCTGCTCCGGCCGCATTTTGTGACTCAATCAGCTTGTCTGCAGGGCAAGCGCAAAATCGGAGACATGGAGGACTTGGCAGGCGAAGCTCCGCAGCATGCGGGTCATGAAGCTTTGGAGATTTGGAGCACCAACCATTTTTTCTGATTGGCGGCCTTCCCTAGTTTGGGCGAGAGTCTGATGTTCATGACATGACCCTCCAGAAATCGAAGCTGCAGCAGCCGAGTTGGCCTTCAGCTACCGAGCAACCGTAGGAGAGCGACCAACAGCTCTTTGTCCCGACATTCATCTTGAAGACATGATGTAGAACACCGTGAACGCCGCAGATAATATCGTGGTTGCGAAATTGTGTATTAGGCATTATTCGTTTGTCCTTTCGTTTAAAAATTGTTATCTAGCTGACCACGCGTAGGCTATAACAACTAAACTTGGCGGCCTTCTGCAGTACCAGCGATGTGCTGTAATTTGACCGTGGTGAGGTCATAAAATATGCAGTTCAGTGCACTTAGTCATCGAAAGTTGAATGCAAGGAGTGCCCAGACGCTTACGTCTGGACCCTGAATCTGTGCAATAGAAGCGAAACCTGTCTACAGGCCTGAGCAAGAAGCTCGAAGAGCTTCCACAGCTTGAGTACGGCGAAGGACCCAAGAAGTGGCTCCAGGCAGACGTTCATGTCTTTAAGAGGTCTCAGGGGCGTTGCTTTTCGACATCAGGTGCTCATGATTGTCCCATAGGGGGCTTAGGCTGAGGTGGGTGGCAACCATCGGGTGGCAACCATCGGCCATCCATACCAGCAGCATGCTGAAGGTGTGACTTTCTCTACAGCACGGGGTCGAGGGGCTGGTTGCATGGCAGCACAGCAGACTTAACTGCCAGACTTTGCTGATTACACTTCTAAGGCGCAGACGGAACAAGTTCACACCCGCATGTACTTTCGACACGCACAGGTTCAGAAGATGAGGTGGGCAGCAGGCAGTGCTCTCAGCATGATCCTGACCAATTCCGAAGATGAGTTTGCGAAATCGCTGCAGTTGTCAACCTAGGACCTAGACTTGCGAACAAGTATTGCTAGTACTTTCTAGCTATAAGCACTTCCACGATGAAAAAGCTGGAGCTAAAGTAAAAAAAGGTGATAAATAAAGCTAGCACACCAGGAGGAAGGTGAGGACAAGGTGCTTGCACAAAATCGCCCACCGGTTTTGTATATCCCGTCCTTCCCGGGTCCCAGCTTGTTTTTCCACCTTTATGTTATCTTCCCTGCCGGACCCCACCTTTGTTTTTTAACAACTTGTCGTTGCCACCTTTGTGTTACCTTTGGTTTGCCTGTTTCAAAAGCTAGATTCCCAAGTCCGTCTGAAAAAGGCGAAAAGTAAAAATGATGGGGCCCGGTGCCCGGCCCTTCAGGCGCCCATAATCCCAAAAGCACCCTGATGTCATCTTCTCCTGACAAGGGACACCTTTCTGTCACCTTCCCCCTCTACCTCGGTTGCTTGCTTAGTCTTCCTTTGTGTCTAGCTTCGAGTTGCTTATGTTGAAGCAAGTACCAAATACTTGCGCATAAGCCTAAACCCATACATTCTTGTAGGAAGCCCTCCTAGCCGCTGAGGTCAGGCTGCGCAGTCTGGAGGCCGAGTTGTACAATATTTGTCTCCAAAGCCTCTGTCCGCGGCTGACGTCCCCAGTGGAGAGTGCATGCCCCTACGTAAACTCTTGTAAGTTTTGCTTGCAGGGAAGCCACGGCTGAAGGCATACAGGGTTGGGAATTCAATTCAACGCATGCTCTTTGAAGCGAAGGATATCAGGTTCACGCGAGGATCCGTGGCCTAGGGCTGTCCCCGCGTGGGGTTGTGCGACATTTCAGTGGGGAGCAACAGGGGTTCGAGGTGCTGCCTGGCCAGCCCTCAAGCATTTCCAGCCTTATGAACCCTTCCCTGAACTTGCAGCAAGCCTAGCCATCGGCAAAAAATTTGGTTTGTCCGAGCTCCATGCAGTTATGCCCATGTGCATACCACTACAATCTCGGGTCTAGAAGTTGACACATGTAGCTGATATGCAGGACCAGTCAGCATTTTATTTGCCTTCCTTTACCAGGCTGCTTGTTGCTGTTCGGTTTCATCCGCATGCTCCGGTATGAGGGCAGTGATCGTTCCGACTCACGTGCTGCCTGTGAAGCCAAGAGCTTTTGGCATGCTCACAGCGACCTTGCAATCAGGAGTCCAAACCATTCGAGCTGAAATGATAGCAAGTATCATGATGTGCTACGTCAGCACTGTCCGAAACAAACAAACCGAAAGGTAACACCTGTTCAGCGAAAGGGGTCAAAGGACGAAAACGAGACAAGGTTCATTCCACGCGGTTGTAAAGATCGGATGCGCCCTGAATCCGATGAATTGTAGGTGCCCGACGGCACTCGCTCTTTGACACCGGAGCTGAGTACACATCCCTCCCGCCGGAGGCCAGTATCAAGCACTGCCAGAGAAATTATGAACCTCCCGCACACGAGCCTTAAACCCACCAGCCGAAGCCTTTTCACCACTCCGCCGACATGGGAGTGTGTGATGAGGTATCTCTAAACAAGGCCGTCTAACCTGATCTCCGAAATCTTGCTAAGCATGTCCAGGGCTAGGGGTGTCCCATACCTGCCGGCCCCAACTTCGAAGTGACTCCAAGTTGTTCGGACATTGTGCGAAGAAGCCTACCGTAGCTGGACATTGTTTCGTTCTTCGGGGCTGCGTGAAGCCATGCAATCCAGGGAGGGTTGCTTGTGTACAGGTTTAGCCTGTGATTCCGAAGGTTCAGAGTCCAAGGGTCCGACATTCTGAGCTTGGGTCCGGAAGAGCGAGCCGACAGCTGTCCCAGACTCAAAGACTTGGCCTCGGAAGGAGTCAGAGCCGACAATCACGAAACTTGATGCCCTTTAGGTAAACGCCCTGAAGCCAAGATGAGCAGGCACTGACTTCCGCTTGGCATGTCCTGGCTGTAGCTTGGCAGAGCCGGGGAACGGGTGGTCTTTGGGCTTGGGCTTAGGGCTGTTAGGTTCTTCGGGATTGGGGGTGCTGTGGAACTTGGACATTCGCTGTTCTTTGAGACCCCGTCGGTGTGTTAGCATGCTGGCAGTTCTGAAATCAAAGCTTCGCAGCTAGAGTCAGAAATGCAGGCCTTTTGAAATCGAGGTTTGGACATGTAAAGGTTTCTGGGTTGTACTTCAATATTAAATTATGGCAGGTGAGTCGAGGGCTGGAAGTTCGAACTGGGTCGGGGATTGCAGGTTGTGGTATCC